CACTGGCTTTTTAATCATTATGGATATGCCTAACGACATGAACGGTTTGGTGAAGTCGATCACCCGTTCCCGGGCGCTGGTTATGGTCAGGGGTGCTATAGCCATGTCGGCCTCCTATAGGATAATATAATTTTACTAATGATATAAAATAGCATGGTAGTATACAATTGGAATTAGTTTCAATTAATTTGTCACAAAATAGGTTAAATATTTTGCTTAACAATTATAATTATAATTATTCTTGGACAAATATAATTTAAATGGGAACATATAGAATATAAATTGATTGAATTGTTGTAATCAATTTGTAAATTTTATAGCATAAAATTATAAAATTATTTTGACTATAATATTTATTTAATTTATGTTTATTATAATTATTATTAAAAAATTATATTATTATTTATAAACTGTAACTATGATTTGCCACTAATTCTTAATGTGTTATTAAGATATTATTTTATTAAATACCGGCAACATTAAAAATAAAAACACAAATTAATATACACTTACGTGTCGTATGAGTTCCCCGACCATACCGTTCCAGCCGTGGTGTGAGTTGGTGTCCAGACCGCCATACTTGTTGTCCCGAACCAATCGGAGCTCGTAATTGATTTGCAAGTGATTTGAGATGAGGTCCGCCAAGTCCTTACTGTAGCCCTCGAAACGGTTGTTTCCCTCGTTTACCACACCTTTCTCCTGGGCTTTCATCATAAGGTACGGCTCCTCCTATTTGGGCAAACAGTTTGATAGTGAGTGAGTGAAAAAGAAAAATTTAAAAACTGACCAGTATAGATGTGACAATGTAAGTTTTATTATCAAACTTGGTGTTTTCCTGGAGCACCCGGTGATATTTAGCCGGCACAATGCTCAAACCCTTTTCTTGTGTCCACACAGCAATCTATCAAGGTATTTCAAATCTTATTAGTCAAAATTAATTAAAATCATTCATGGACATTTAGCGTTAATATATTTTAAACTATAATTTTTAAATTAAATGATATTGTGACACTATTTAAATATTTAGTCTAGGATTATTGGGAACTACAAAATTAATTAAAATTTTATTTTAAAACTCCATTATAACAATTAAAAATTAAATATAAATAAATACCTTGGCCATTTCACTATTAATTGTCATTTCCACGACATCGACTGAAAAGTTTGATCTGTAACCCAATTCATCGAAAGCCAATACCCCGGTTAAGCCATTTATGTTAGTCTATAATAAATGAAAAAATTTATATAATAGTTACTAGATTATTTTGACAAATTTTTATAAGAATATACAGTACCTTCATCATAAATTTGCGTATTTTATCACCATGCTCCCATTTGGATATGGGCTCCGACCTACAATCGATGCCCTTTGCACCGCTATTATACATTTCACCACGGCGAAAGTTATTACGAAAAGCCTCTGGGTGTCGACTAAATAGTCGTTGATATGTGTCCAGTAGTACCTTGGCACCGTCATACATCATGGCCGCATCTGCCTGTTAGCCAGTAGGTTTATTAAAATAAAAATTTAAAATGTTAATGTAATTAATAATATTACTATACTAACAAATAGTCTTAATTTTTTGTGATTTTAATCATTTTCTCCAAATAACCAACATTTTTGTGAACTAGATAAATTTATAAAACTTTAATTCTAATATAGTTACAGTTTTTAAAATTAAATTCTTATTAAATTAATCCTAATAAAATAAAAACAATATATTATTAGGAATTAAAACAAATTGCTTACACTGATCGAGGCCACTTTATTTTCTGCGCCATTGGCTATCATTACACCAGAAATAGGGTCTATTTTGCGCCAATGATTGAAAAACAATCGGAACTCCGGTGTCGACGGCTTAAGTATCCGAAAGCCGGTGATATTGACGGCTCCGAACTCCGATACCTTGTCATTGAGGTAGTCGTCCATCACTAGACTGGTCAGTAGGAAATGGAAGTTCCGTTTGCCCATGTAAATGTCCCTGTGCATATAATTTAAGTTGTTTAATAAATTAATTTTAACTTTTTTGTTTCAAACTGTAATCTGTAATTTTTTTTATAAATAATTTTAATTTAATAACTTAAAAAATAGATTAAACGGGACAATGAATAGTAACTTTGTTATGATTATGCTAATTTTTGAATGTTTTTTAATATAATGTGTTTTTATTAATAATATAAAATATTTTTTGATTGTTCACACAGTTTAATCGTATATATTATAAAAAATTGAAACTGTAAATTAAAAATAAGTAAAAAATAATTAACGTAAATATCATATAAAAACAAAAATATTGGGTTATAAGTCCCGAACTATTAAATTTTATTTTATACATAAATTTTTTAAGAAT